GTCCTCAAAGGCATAAGGAAAGTGTTTAATGACGTCACAGACCTGAATATAATATGTGGCAGTATTTATAGTTATAATGTAATTACCTACATAAAATTAAATACATTAAGTAATTAGATAAAATCCATTAAAAACAGTAAATTATGAATTCGCAGTCTAACACTTAACAGTTAACACAAACAAAGATATGTTCGTGATGCTAGCAGTAGATGTGAACTGTACATCCCCACAGGCCTAGCCTACTTGCTAAGATAGCTATCTTTTACAGTGTTGAAGCCTGGGGGGCGTGAACGGCGGATGCAGCGGGCGCAGGTGGGGAGGGGGGGTCGGAACCAGGCGTACAGTGAAAAGAGAGAGAGATGTGCACGAGTCTGCCAATAAAAATCGATCTCTTCTGCTCTGATTCACCCACTAGCTCAGGTCGATATAGCCTGCCTCTCTCCCCCCCGCTGCTCTCGTCTCTCTATCTCTCTCCATACACGTACGCTCGCGGCAGCCGCCAGCTTGTATGCGTCCCTCCTCGCGCCAGAGAGTGGCCGCCTGGCTGCTCGCGCTGCCGTTGGGGAGCGGTGGAGAGGAATGCGCGCGCCGCGGCCGACTGGAGATGATCTCGTTTTGGCTGCTGTGCTGGAAGCTGTTGGTAGGTAAATAAACCAATCAACAACATTGAATAATAAAGCCGAACAGCGTCTTCCTCGCGGGTTTGCAGCTGTGTGGATGCACACCGTGTAGCCTGTGAACGCGGTGTATGCGCGAGGCTCTGGCTCAGCTTGGCTTCTGTATGCGCGCTTATCTGTCACGATTTTGGTGCTTTGCCCAAGTTTAGAATATTGTCTTATATAACACTTCTGGCACAGCACTCATCTGACAGAACGCAGTAGAACCAGGAGGATAATTGTATTTTTCATTAGAATACAAAGAGCAGAACAGGAGAAAATGGAACGCTAGAACCGAGTGCAACAGCATCATGGCTCCATTTATAACTCATCTTTGGTAAAACACATGATGCCTAAAGCTGCTGTGTAATCCTCTCAAAGCATAGACACACACACACACACACATACAGAGGTGTCTGATTAAGTAATCGTCATAATGCTGTCTCCAGCTGCTGATGTGGGGGCAGAGACTGCAAGGGAATTCACTATACTGGGAATATAACTCTGTGTCGTGGATTTAATATATTTTAAACCTAAAGTTCAGCTGACAAAGGTCAGTGAGGTCTACCAATAATCCAAAAGTCTGCTGGTTCAAATCTAGACAGGCAGTG